CAGTATGTTTTAGCTAATACTATTACACTTTAGTTCAAGGATCAAAAACTCGCAGCCCTGCAGCCCAGTCTACTAACACTTCTGTTTGGCAAGCACGGTGTTTTCAAAATTTTGAAGCTGAAATCCTTGAGGAGAGAATACACTCTCCAGTTGGTCAAACGTGTCCTCAGCCACTCTTGTCTTACATTAGGCCTGATTCATGCATTGATTACTTGCTTCCTGGCACTTTCAGGCACCTGAACGTTCAACCCCTTTTCAGGCGTAGACCTGAAGAACACAGCTGGCTGCAATAGGTCTGGATTGGGAGATGCAGAGGTGTATTAATGTATGTGTATGTCTTTTCTCTCTTCAAGTTAAACTCCGACCAGGATAAAATCCCCAAGAGAAGGAGACTCACCTTTGGAAATCTATCTCGTTGGGGTCAGAGGTGTTTCTCTCCATCCCCACGGTACTTAGAGAAGTGCCTCTCAAACCTTAATGTGAATGCAAATTGCTAGGAATCTTGCTAAATCCAGCCAGAATCTGGTTCACTAGATCTGGGTTGGGGCCTAAGATTCTGCATTTCTAACAAGCTCACAGGTGATGCTGCAGCTGGCTTAAGGATTTAGGGAGCAGCGCAACCTCGGGGAAATGTGTTTATGCTGGAGGCTGAGAGTGAAGACTCTTCATGGCAGACCAAAGACTTCTGTGAGCGGCGAGTCATTGGTTCTCTCCTTCCAGTGCCCCACAGTATCCGGAAATGAATGACCGTCAGGAAAACAGTCGTCTCTCTATGTAGCGTTTGAAGCCTAGATGGAAGATAGTGAGTCCCCCTTTAAGGGAGGCCCGATCTTAGAGCATTTCTAAGAACCCTGCCTTTCATTCATTAGCAAGGCAAGCTTTTACCCGACTGTGGTTTATGTCTTTATCTTATGAGTTGGTCAGGACCTTGATACAATTAATATTTTTCTTTTAAATACAGTGGTTCTCACAGTGTGGTTCTGGGACTGCAACATCAGCATTATTAGGAATTTGTTAGAATCGCAAATTCCAATCAGGCCCCACCCCAGACCTCCTGAATCAGAAACTTGGAGTGGAGCCCCGAAATTGTGTTTAAGAAGCCCTCCACGTAATTCTCATGCACGCTACCATTTGAGAACCACCGTTCTAAGATGCCAGATCCCTCAGGTGAGTTTCTAGAGAAGAAAGCCCTCGACCTAGAAGCCTTTGGGAGTCTGTCCAAGTTCCTGGGCTTTGTTACTCAGTGGATAATTTCACAATTGAGCTCCAGGGAGGTGATTCCAAGAAGGGGGTTTGAAGGATGGCAACGTCAGGTAAGGAAAAGCAGGAGCAAATGATCCATCCCCTGGGGATAATTGTTTGGCTTTATGCAAATGTTTTAAGCAATAAAACCAGACAGTGATGTACAGGAAATATATGCTCCTCATGCTGAGTGGTCTAAATAAGAGTATTATCAGTGATTGGGCTTCAGAGCCCCTATTAAACAAAGCCTTAATGGCATGAAATACAGCACACCTGCTAAATGAAACACACACGGGGACATTATGGGAATTTTCAACAGCGTTTTATTTTGCATAATATGGTTTTTTTTTTCCAGACAAGAAATGGTATATTAAAAAATCAGCAGGCATAGAGCTTGTTTTAAAATTATTATTACTTTACTCTGTCTTTGCAGGCTTTTATTTCTTTCTCCTGCTGTTATTCCACAGAAATATGGAATAGTCTATCCAGAAAGAACTTTAGAGATCAGTGATTCTATCTTTGCAATTCACAGCTGAGGGCACTGGTGTTTGAAGACACAAGGTGACTTGCCCTGAGTGGAGGGCCTGGAGCTGGTTCCCAGGAGTCCTGCTTCTCAGACTTGGTGATTTCCATTGAAAATTTTTTTTCCCCCAAGAAGTCTAAGACCCAGTAAGGGACCTGGGGAAGTGGCCTCATGCATTTCCTTGTGCATGACAGAAAGCCTCAGAGGAAAGGGAGGTGCATTTACATCATTTATATATGTGCACACAACCTGATTTTAGCAAGTGGATTATCTGGCTACCTTGAATTTGAAAGTGAATTCTGATGCTGCAGTTCAGTTGGAAACATCATTTGTGAGATGGCTGAGGCTTAGAATTTGGTCTCTAGAAGTCAAAACCACCTGTCCTGCAGTGCAAGTACCAATCTCATGCTTGGGACGATAGGGAGCATGCCTTCTCTCAGGGACAGCATCTGGGGCTATGACCTATGCAGGTGCCCAGTGTTGTTTTTAGAAGGACTTTGACTTGCTTTAATGCTCTGCTGTCACTCTCTTGGAAGTCTTTTTTTTTTTTAAGTTCGGGGGTACATGTGCAGAATGTGCAGGTTTGTTACATAGGTATACACACGCCATGGTGGTTTGCTGCACCCATCATCCCATCATCTACATTAGATATTTCTCCTAATGCTCTCCCTCCCCTTACCCCACGTCCCCCAATAGGCCCTGGTGTGTGATGTTGCCCTTCCTGTGGCCATGTGTTCTCATTGCTCAACTCCCACTTATGAGTGAGAACATGCAGTGTTTGGTTTTCTGTTCTTGTGAAAGTTTGCTGAGAATGATGGTTTCCAGCTTCATCCATGTCTCTGCAAAGGACACAAACTCATCCTTTTTTATGGCTGCATAGTATTCCATAGTATGTATGTGTCACATTTTCTTTATTCAGTCTATTAGGGGCATTTGGGTTGGTTCCAAGTCTTTGCTTTTGTGAACAGTGCTGCAATAAACATAGGAGTGCATGTGTCTTTATAGGAGAATGATTTATAATCCTTTGGGTATATACCCAGTAATGGGATTGCTGGGTCAAATGGTATTTCTGATTCTAGATCCCTGAGGAATCGCCACACTGTCTTCCACAATGGTTGAACTAATTTACACTCCCATCAACAGTGTAAAAGTGTTCCTGTTTCTCCACATTCTCTCCAGTGTCTGTTGTTTCTGGACTTTTTAATGATCGCCATTCTAACTGGTGTGAGATGTTATCTCATTGTGGTTTTGATTTATATTTCTCTAATGACCAGTGTTGAGCTTTTCTTCATATGTTTGTTGACTGCATAAATGTCTTCTTTTGAGAAGTGTCTGTTTATATCCTTTACCCACATTTTGATGGGGTAGTTTTTTTCTTGTAAATTTGTTTACATTCTTTGTAGATTCTGGATATTAGCCCTTTGTCAGATGGATAGATCGCAAAATTTTTCTCCCATTCTGTAGGTTGTCTGAAGTCTTAGTTAAAAAAAAAGTGGGACCTGCACTTTGATTTTGCACTAAGCCTAACAAAATACGGAACTTTAATTTTTTTCCCACATTTCTCATTCTCCCCCAGGCAGCCTTTGAAACCTTCTCCAAGAAATCTTTTCTGCCTCCCAGAGAGTGTGTTATATATTGTAATGTTAATGTTGCTGTGCTAATCATGTTAATCTCCAACATTAATTGCCTTCTTTCTGTAGGCCAACACTGTGAGATAGATACTATTATTGTCATCATACCACCTAACAGATGAGGAGACAGGGGAGGACACTGAGGCTTAGAGAGAGTAACTGGCTCGAGGGTACACAGCTAAGAATTGGTGTTAGAAGCCAGGTTTGTTTGCACAGCACAGAGACTTAACCAGTGTGCTATATGTACAACCTTGCTGTGTTGTCCACTCAGCGTTTAACATTCTGTGATGTTTTCTGGCTTCCTCTTCCTGACTGCAGGGGAGAGACTGTGTCCTTTACTGCAGAGGCTGTCCTTTATTCGGTTTCACCCAGCATCGTACCTAGCACAGACAGGGTGTTCAATGAATACTTATTTTAAAAGGGCATTTGGCTAAATTTAATGTGCATTTAGCCATATCAGAACTTCCTGCAAACTGGAGACACTTCCAGGTTTATGTTTAAATTTCTCCCGCATATGATGCTGCACAGTATAGCTGATGGGAGTGTTGTGATACTTTTATATTTGACTTCATGAATTATTTATGGAATTAACACCGGAATCATGATTAATTTGTGGAGGGAGAGAAGTTGCTATGTGGCTTTGTGCTCATGTTTTCCTGGCAGGGATAAATTACCTTCCCAGTGGCTGCGGGGTGAAGACTCTAGATTCAGGTTTCCAGGAGAGACAGACATTTGTGTTTCCCTCTTCCTTCTCTTTCTCCCACCTGAAAAACCTGGGAAGCACAATTTACGCCATAAACCAGTGGCAAATGCCTCATATCTGTCAGCAGTGAGCCAACTAAGCTTTCCTCAATGTTTAGTTAACATATGTCTCTTAAGCATCTACTGTGCACCATGCTAGGTATGGGAATGCAAAACCAAGAAGGCTTGTTTCTGCCCTCAAGGAGCTTTCAGTCTGGCAAATGGAGACAGGCATGGGGAAAGAGAGTATATGATCGGATGACCACTGGCAAGACATGCATGTCCTTCAGGACTGGGGGGAATTCCTGGGGTCAAGGCTTCATGCCTATAGGGCAAAAAAAAAAAAAAAAAATTAGAGTAGCTACAGACCAGGAATGGAGAAAGAAAGAGGGGCAGCTTTCTACTGGAGAGTGACCCTGGAAAGCTAGAGAATGATCTGTGAATAGTAGAAATGGCAGGTGGAGGGAAGAGGGCTCAGACAGGAGCTGGGAAATGAATGTTATTTGTGCCTCCAGCTCAACCCTGGAGGCTGAGGGTGGTGGATAAAGTCAGTGTTGTCCATGACCAGTATGGCTCCCATGTTATCATTAGGGTGGCTCTGCAGGGAGCAAGATCTCGCCCTGCTGCAGGTGATCAGCAGCTCTGTGGGACCCCACATTCCCAGTGGCCTCAAGGCGAGAAGGAGGAATGCATTGCCCAGAGCCGGAGAGCAGGGAAGAGCCCTAGCTGAGTCGGCTGCGCTCCTGCTCCATCAGCAAGTTTGCTTTCTGAGACCTACTGTATAATAGCAATCTCTTTCCCATTTTCTTCAAAGCATCATGAGGAAATACAACTGCTGTTCTGTTCAGCAGCCCTCACTTTTGAGTAATAAACTCTCAAATGATCCTAGTTTACTTTGATGCTTTCGGAATTCCCCTACTAGCTGCAGTGGTTTCCTGCCGTTTGCTAGCTGGAGAGTTGCCTGTGCACACTCTCTCAGCCTTTGGGATGAGCCCTTGCCTCTCCGAGCTTGTCTTAACACATTATTTATTCTGCAGCTCTTCTCCTGGCCTGAGCAGTACCGGGGTTGCTACGACTGCACTAAGGGGCCTAACCCTCTTGCCCCAGCCTTTGAGGGGGAAAAGATTGTTCCTGACTCCGTTTATTTCCAGGTAGAAAAGAATCAGCTCTGCAGCGTGAAGGCGAAGGCGAGGTACTCAAGATAAGTGTTTTCTTCCCTCTGTATTACTTATTTATTAAAGGCAGTGAGGCATAACTAAGAGAAAGGAAAGGAGCCGAGGAAATAGAAAATACAATGGCCCCTCAGATTTTAATGGGAGAGATGGCTGGAAGTGATTCCTAAATTATTAAATAAATCGATTTGATTCTTGAAGCTGTCCTCCGAGGTGTATTTGTCAGTTTCATTATGATTGTCTTCAAGGGTAGGAGGAGTTACTCATGGAGAAAGTGTTTTTTTCCCCTTCTATTTTGAAGGCTGCAATTCATGACTGCTGTCTAATTAAACGCTCACTGCTTTGTGTAATGGGAGCAGCGTTCTTTCAGTTTTATTTTGGCTTTTGTCCTGATCCCGCTTGTCTTACAGGCTCACAGACGTGAGACAAGATCGGGTTGGCTGTCGGGTAGACATACTTTGGAGAATCTTGATCCCATTGCAATTACAGGACCGTTTGGTCACTGAGGAGTTCTATGGTAATTTATTCACATGCAAGAGTCCTGTCACTTAGCTGTTTGTCTAACAGAATCCATTGAGTCTTAGGATAATGGGTTGTGCCCTCCCAAATGACGAGAATAACACCTTAATGCACTTGAGGGAAATACTGAATTTTATTTTGAGGTTTTGGTGGTGACTGCAGTGGTGTTTGCTCCTTTCTCTCACATTTCCCTCTCTTCCCCCAAACACTTCTACTGCCTCCAGCCCAATGGTAAAAAATGCCTGAACATCCAAATTCTTTTTCTTAATTATCCTCCTGAGGAAAGCAGGCCAAGCACCAGGGTGCAAAAAATTTAAACCATAAATAACAAGCCGAGAGGAAATAAAAGAAATGACACCAGAATAAACTGAGCTATTAACTGAAAGCTCTACATCATCGTCCTCCCTGGGCCTGAAAACACATAGAAGGGAAGGTGGTTAAGTACTTATTTCCCAAAGAATGTAATTATAATCTGCTGCAATTAAAAATGGATGAAGGAAACATTTCCTCATCATTTCCGGCCGGGGTTGGGGGCGGGTACTTCAGACACTGGAGCAGGAAACATTTTGGAGAATGTAGTTCTACTCCTTCCCTGAGGTCAAGTGAAGCTGAAGGACAGAGCTGGCTCGTGCCAGGGGCATCACTGCTGCCTGGGTCTTAGGGGTGGGGGCAAGGATGGGAGAAAGGAGGTGAGCAAAAAAATGGGTAGTGATCGATTTCCAAGATGAATGAGGGTCCCTCTCTGGGCCCACTGCGTAATTGTTCCATTCGACTCAGTACACCTGGTGTGAAGAACTCCAGTCACACCTGCAAACCTGCCAGGTTTTCAATGAGTGGCTTGAGTTTCAATTTCCTGGATGCTCCCTGAATCTTGGGGATGGGGAGAAGTTGTGAGTATACTGCAACACAGAGCACTGAAGATGAGGGATGGGGGCGGGGCATGGGAAGTGGGGCTGCTGGCCAGGCTGGCTGACATGTGAAGAATCACACTCCCAGCCACTTTGAAGCCTGCGAAGTCCTGGTGATGATTTCTCCTCTGTTTTGCCAAGGGAGCCAGTCCTGCTTTGGCAGCGAGGATTAGCAGAACCCCTGAGGACATGTTGCAAGAGGTGCATACCTTCCAGTGATGTGGTCTGTCTCCTGCCAGCCCACCAGGCTAGGGGCAGAGTGGGGATAAGTGGGAAATAGAGTCAGAAGGCTCTGCTTTCTCATCCAGCTTAAAGAGAGTTAAGTGAGAAAAGCAAGGTGCAGGAGAGCGTGTATAAGAAGATCTCTGTTTTGTAAAACGGACCATGACAAGCTGCTCAAACTCCGCGTGTGTGTGTGTATATAAAGGGCTGTACTGGATTATACAAGCACAGATGAAAATCTGGGACACAGGCGGAGTTCTTAAAATGAGTTACTGGGGTGAGGGTATGCAATGAGGTGAGGATGCTGATGGGAGAGGGGTAAGGTGTCTATGCTAACAGCATTTATCATAGGATCCCATTCATGTACAACTACTATTTCTATGTGTATTACAGTTTACCAGTTTCACCTACTCTGCTCACCTTTTCCCCAAAAATGCCCTATCTGAAAACATCTGCTGCCAGATACTGAGGGCTCAGTGTTTTGCAGGCTCTTTCCCTGTATTCCGGGTCAGTGCTGTGCAGCTTCTTTTTATGGTGTGAGCCCAGTGTGAGCAGAGCCACTTTGCCTCAGGGAAAAGCTGTTATTAACTGCTCCTCTGATCCAACCTCCCCTCTGTCCTGATCAAGGGGACAGCAATGAGAACGAGTTTCTCAAAGAGGCTGACTCCTCTTAAATGGATGTGGCGCCCTTTGGGCAGACAGATTTGTAGGAAGGAGACCTCAGGAGAGCCAGCTGGGAGTGTCTGGGCTGCGGGAGCCCTGGGGCTGGCTGGGCTGTGGGATTTCTTTCATCACCCCATAGGGAGGGGGACAGACTCTGGGAAACATACCTGGGGTATGAAGATGGAAAGGACAGGGCAGTAGTTTTCAGCTCAAGACAAAGGAAAAATTTTCTAACAGCCTGAGCTCATGACTGGCTGAGCTGCCTCTGGGGAGGAGCAGGGGCCTCATTGCTGGCAGGCTTCAGAGCCTGTTGTCAGCTTGGACTATAAGACCTGTGTCTGTGCTGTGAGGTAGCCTAGTCACATGTAACAGCTGAGTAGTTGAAATGTGGCTGGTGCAACTGAGAAAATGAATTTTTAACTGTAATTAAAATTTAAAAACTGAAGCAGTATAAAAATTTTTTTCTATTAAATAAAATGAGTATTTTATTGTTCTAGTAGGACTTTATAAAAAATGTTTTTGTTTTTGTTTTTTAGAAATTGGGGTCTTGCTATCTTGCCCAGGCTAGTCTTGAACTCCGGGCCTCAAGTAATCCGTCTGCCTCAGCCTCCTGATTAGCTGGGATTACAAGTGTGAGCCATCACCCTCAGATATTTCTCTTTACCCATCAAAAATTTAGTGGCAGAATTGAGATGTGTAAAATACTAGATCTTGAAAACTTAGTATGATAAAGGGGTAATATGCTGCATTAATAATTTTTACATTAGTTACATGTTGAAATAATATATTGAAAATACTGGGTTCAATGAAGTACATTGTTAAAAATCAATTGCATGATTTTTTAAAAAATGTGGCTAATAGAAAAAGGGAAATTACACATGTGGCTTATGTTGTATTTCTATTGGATGGTACTCTTCTAAGTCTCTGTGAGCATTGGGAGTTTGTGATTCTATGTAATTGTTCTTGCTCCTGGTATGGATTCTTGCCTCCTATAGATGGAAAGATACTCCATGAACACTTGTGGCTTCCACAATGGTCACCTGAGACAATTTTTGTTGGTGACGGTGGTAGGAATCATGTGACAAGTACCCAGACTTCAGAGAAATGACCGGAGCAATTGTGTCTGGAGCTCTGGGAACTTCTGGTGAAATTTATTACAGGAGAGTTTAGCTTACATGTGCAAAAGCTGCTATTTAAAATAATAGGAAGTTTCTTTTAAAAACCAGAATATATGACCTGACTTTTATTCACTGCTTTTCTCAAGCACTTAAAGTTGAATAAAAATCTTTCACTGTTCTGTATCATTAAAGCATATCCTGAGAAAGGCCTAGAAACACAGTGGTAGACTCTAAATTAAGCAATAAGATATGCACTTTTAGTTTCCCTAATTACCTACCATTGAAAGTGGGTTGGAACTAAAATAAACATGCCGCCTTGAAATGAGAATTAATATGTGCTAGTGCTGCTGGGGAAAAACCCTATTAAACAATTGAATTTTAGAAGATTTTGCTTTGTCAAAAAACCTAAAGGCATTCCTCCCTTTGGAATTGAATCTTCATTTTGAGTTTTGAAAAATCACTTGTTCCATGTGTTTTACGAAATGCCTTTAAGGAGCTATTATGACATTCTGTTCATTACATTTTGAACTCTGTCACATGCTGTGAAGGAAACCACCCTCTCTGTTGCTCCTTGAGAAGGCAAGCGTAAACAGTGCCATGATTCCATGGGGAAAGAGCTGTATTCATTATGGAACATATTGTTGGGAGTTGTGGAAAGACACTTCTTTGTCATTCCACCAGGGGCAGGTTAGGGGAGATGGGAGAGGGGAAATGGAAGCGCTGAGGGCAGGAGGAAGATGGGGTGGGGTGGGAGGCACGGTAGTATTTAAAGCAGATGTCACTCAAATTCCCAATCTAGGCTTTCAGTTTAGCTCTGCTAGACCTGTTAATCCTGGATCATATGTTTTTCCAATTAGAGGTGAATTCTAATCTTATTGTCTAAGAAATATATTCTCAATTTAGAGTAGGGTATATTACAGACTAATCTCATTATAAATGGAGGCTGCTAGAATCATAGTATAAATTCATATCCTAGTTCATGATCCCCACAATAAGAAGAGGTCATGATCTGATGTCGCCTCTTCTAGGGGTGAGGATGAATAGACTGGAACAGAAACAAATCTGAAAGAGTCTTGAGCAAGTCTTTATTTGGGAGAAGAGGAGAAGGAGAAATGCAATGCAAACACAATCCCAGACCTTATTATGAGGGCTGGAATGGGGAAGGTGTGGATGTTAGGGCTGAAGGAAGGAAGACAGTTTAACTATCACCTTTTGCCATGAAAGTTTAAAAAGACAATTTAAGTATCGCCTTTTAAAATGAAAATGCTAAACAGTTTAGCCTAGGCTGTTATCAGGACCACAAGTGACATCTCTTTTTAAAGAGATGAAATAAAAACACCGGTGCAGAATACCTGACCACAAAAATAATCATGTAGCTCAAATTGTGACCTCGTTCTGGACAGGCTAATTCCCACAGAGGGAGTCTAACAGCCTCACCCCGAGCAGCCCTTAATGCTCTATTACACAATAAACATGAAGGATCCAGTGGCCCCATGGAGGTCCTGGAACCCATCCTCTTGTTTTAAGCTAGGGTTCTTCTAAACAACTGATGTTCAATCTAACTTTGAAAACTGCAAGAGGGATTTTCTT